CTAGCAAGTATGGCGCTCTGAGTTCAAGCCCGAGTACCACTAAGAAAAAGGAAGGGAGGAAGAAAGGGAGGGAGGAGGGAAAGAAGGAAGAAGACGGAGGGGGGAAGGCTGTGGAGGCAGAGGAAGCAGTTTGGGGAACACAGCCAGGGACGGACTTTTGGCGGAGGTGATATCTGGAGAGCCCCAGAGGAGGCCGGCCGCCCTGAAGCCAGAGCGCTCACTGTGGCCAGGAGCAGCTAGATCCTGGCTGGACTTGGGGAACAGAGGGGATTGGGGGCAGCTGCTGGCTGGAGCAGTGGGACAGGGAGAAGTCCCAGGGGTCAGGTGGGGGGTCTGGGGCGGTGGGTGCAGAGGAAGTGGACTGGGAGGGTGAGAGGGTGGCCCAGCAGGAGGCCCAGAGCTGAATCACAGAGGGCAAGGCATTGCCCAGGTGGACCGTGAAAGGCACTTCTGGGGAAGTGGGGTGTCACAGGAACCCTCCTCCCCACTCACTCCCACCCACTCCTGTCTGCCCTGCAGAGATCGCCATCTGCCCCAACAACCACGAGGTCCATATCTATGAGAAGAGCGGGGCCAAGTGGACCAAAGTGCACGAGCTCAAGGAGCACAACGGGCAGGTGACAGGTGGGTCAGGCAGGCATGGGCCAGGGTGCTTGGTAGGGTAGTTTGAGTTGCAAGGCACACCACCCTGACTCAGCCCGAACTCTAACCTGACACAGCCTAACCCTTGCTTAGCTTATGAAGGAGCTAGGTTATCTGCCTCATGGTGCTGAGAAAAACTCAGAAGCTGGTGGGCTTCAGGACAGGCTTGATCCAGCAGCTCCGCATTACCAAGCACTGTTCTTTTCTGCCCTTGACTTTCACCGCCAGTAAGTTTGGTGGGACTTTGGGAGAGTTGTCACCCCCCCCTCCCCAAATTGGATCTTAATAAAAAATAGGTTGGAAAGAGGCAGCCTCCTTCCAGATGGTGGCCCTCCTACTCAGTCACTGTAGAGCCACCTCGGGTGGCTTCAGTTTGTTGTGTTACTCCCATCCCCCCACAGGCATCGACTGGGCCCCTGAGAGTAACCGCATCGTGACCTGCGGCACCGACCGCAACGCCTACGTGTGGACGCTGAAGGGACGCACGTGGAAACCCACGCTGGTCATCCTGCGCATCAACCGCGCCGCGCGCTGCGTGCGCTGGGCCCCCAACGAGAACAAGTTCGCCGTGGGCAGCGGCTCCCGCGTCATCTCCATCTGCTACTTCGAGCAGGAGAATGACTGGTGGGTGTCTGGGAGGGACCCGGGCCTTGTGACCTCTGTAGAGCAGGCAGGACTAGAATGTCCCCAGAAAGAAGGAGGTGAGCTCTCAGGCCCCGGGGAAGTCTGTCCTCTCTGCCTGGTGGCCCTGCAGCCCCGACTTGGTTATCAGAAGGGCGCAGGCCATACCAGGGCCACCTCAGCGCACCTCATTAAGCCCGGCCCGCACGTGAAGTGTGGCAGTGACTCCTGGCACTGCAAGCTGGGTCTGTGACCGAGCCACCGTACAGAGGAGCAGAGGAGGCCAGGGGTGAGGCCCAGCTTGTGAGAATGCAGGGCTCTGCCCCGGCACTTCGGTTTGGTTTTTAGCAGTGCTGGGGTTTGAACTCAGGGCCTGAACTTGCTAGGCCATTGAGTCACACCCCCAGCCCTGTTTGCGTGAGGTTATTTTGTTCATTTTATCATTTTTACACTTTACATTATTTGGACCACCTCCCCCACCCCGGAAGGTTATGTTTTGTTTAGGATCTTGCTGCCTTTTTGCCCAGGCCAGCCTCGGAGCAAGGACCTCCTACCTGTGCCTCTAATGTAGCTGGGACCACAGGTGCACACCCCACCACACCTGGCTTGTTTTTGAGATGGACTTTGCTAACTTTTTGCCTGCACGGGCTTCAAACCATGGTCCTTCCCTTCTCAGCCTCCTGTAGTAGCTGAGATTACAGGCATGACCACTGCACCCAAACTTAGGTTTTTTTCTGAGACAGCCTCACTATGTAGAGGACTCTCTGTCCTCTTGACTCACCTTCCTGGGTGCTGCGATGACAGGCGTGCACCACCAGGCCTGACTGTAGCCACATCTTAATCTAACCTGTGTCCCTAGGGTGGGAGCCTAGCTGGAGTCTGGGAGATCTGAGTTCAAATCCCACCATGGCCAGTTAGCAACCATGTGTCCCCATGGCAGAGGACAGCAGCACGTGGGCACCCACATCCAGCAGGCCCAGACCCCTCCTATCTGAGCAGTGGGTGAAGCAGGGAGCCTGGAGACCAAGGCACCCGCCCACCTGCCTGCCCCTCTCGCCCCTGCATCGTCCAGGTGGGTGTGCAAACACATCAAGAAGCCGATCCGCTCCACCGTTCTCAGCCTGGACTGGCACCCCAACAATGTGCTCCTGGCCGCCGGTTCCTGTGATTTCAAGTGCAGGTGAGGTGTGGGAGGCAGGGCATCGTCTGGGGAGCCCCAGGCCCCGCCTTCCAGACCAGCTACTGTGGGCGGGGCCGCCTGAGCCTCAGGGAAGGTTTGCTGCTGTCCTGTCTCTAGTCCCTGGGGTAGAGTCTTAGCAGAACGTGTCATTTGCCGCCTCTGAATGTCAGCAAGCCTTTCTTTCCTGCCTGATTAGAATCTCACCCTGTAATTTCGTGGCTTCTGCCGGAAGGAGAATGACTAAGTGCCCTTATTCATACTAAAGCATGAATGACTGATAAGCTGGAACAAATATCGCTTCATTACCTTAAGGCCTAGAATATAGTTTCCAGTTTCCATTCACTGTTTTTCACTTCCGGACCACTGAATTCCCTTCCTCCCGGCTCCAGGCAGACCCTCCAGATCCTCCTGCCTGCGGGCCGGGATTATCTGCATGCACCACTATGCCCAGTTCAGTTGTGGGTTTATTCCAACCTGTTCTGCCCAATACGTGGGTGGACTCTCCCCAGGGTCTTTTAATCCCCACTTGGGAAGCAGCAGGCCCTAGAGGCCCCTTCAGAGGCTCTGGGTACAGGGGATGGCGCCCCATGGAGCTTTGTTGGTGGGTGGGAGCTTGTTTTGGCACCCTGATCTGGCCCGTGGATCTAGAGGAGGTTCCTGTATGAGAATGGGGTGGAGGTGGAGTCTATTGGAGGGTGGGACCAGTGGGAGGGAGGAGGGGCATCCTCGGAGACCAGGACGGTCCTGGATGGTCAGCTCTGGAGTCAGGGCCCCAAAGGTTCCGAGTCACAGGATGCTGAGCTGGGAGACCACCCCCCCTGGACCCACCTTGTTGCACAAAGGGGACACTGAAGCCCAGACTTGCCCAGCATGTAGGCAGGTCGTGCAGAGCTCGGTGTGGACTGCACAGGTGTGGCACACCGACCTCCGGTGAAGCTGCCCGCTGAGCCGCATTGGAACAGGGACCCCCTTCTCAGGCCCCTGGTCCCCCGCTTTGCCTCTCCCTGCAGGATCTTCTCAGCCTACATCAAGGAGGTGGAGGAGCGGCCGGCCCCCACCCCGTGGGGCTCCAAGATGCCCTTCGGGGAGCTCATGTTCGAGTCCAGCAGCAGCTGCGGCTGGGTGCACGGGGTCTGCTTTTCAGCCGGCGGGAGCCGTGTGGCCTGGGTCAGCCACGACAGCACCTTGTGCCTGGCCGATGCGGACAAGAAGATGGCGTGAGTGCCGGTGTGGAGGTGGGGCGCTGAGCAGCCAAGGCACGGAGCGGGCCCTGACCTCCATCTCCCCCTCAGGGTCGCCACCCTAGCCTCTGAAACGCTACCGCTGCTGGCCGTCACCTTCATCACTGAGAACAGCCTGGTGGCAGCGGTAAGCAGTCTGGGGAAGGGGAGGACAGTGGTCAGTAGGAGCAAGTCTCCCAGTGAGCCTGCACGACTCCCCACTCATCCCTTTTGCCCTCCCTCCCTCCCTTCCTCCTTCCATCCATCTGTCCATCAATTTGTCCATCCATCCATCCCATCCCATCCGCCCACCCATGTATTGGATAGAATAGGTTGGGTAACAAACCTATTCCTGTAGTAACAAAAAAATCTACAACTGAGCTGGGTATAGTGGTGCACACAGATAATCCCAGCCCTCAGGAGGCTGGGGCAGGAGGATCTCAAGTTCCAGGCCAGCCTGGATTACTTAGTGAGATCACCTCAAAAAAAGAAAAAAAAGGGCTGGTGGAGTGGCTCAAGTGGTAGAGAGCCTGCCTAGCAAGTGTGAGGCCCTGAGTTCAAATCCCAGTACTAAAGAAAAAAATGGCCAAACAAAAACAAAATCTGAACTGCGGGGTCTCATGGCAGCAAAAATTCCTTCCTTGCTGACCTTCCATGCCGTGTGGGCGTGGTGGTCTCCTCTGGAGGCTTTGTCTTCCAAAACCTTCCTGCGTTGCCTTGAGGGGACAGAGGGAATGTGACAGCTCTGCTTTACATTTTACTGGCAAATGTTACGTCCACACCTAACTGAGCAGGTCCACCTGGTGTCCCTCCCTCTGTCCACATAGCTGGCAAGTCCCTTCTCACCCCATGTGGCTGCCAGGGGAGTATTCAGCTGGGATGTCCCCAAGGAAGTGTGATGGGCTGGACCGGGCTCCTTGGGGACCAGACAGACCTTGCTGGGGAAGAGGACGGGGCCGAACACCCTTCCCCTTGGGACGTGGGGTTTCTCCCGGGCGTGGGGGCCCCTGCCCTGGGCGGCGCTCCAATGGCTCCCAGTCCTGCTGCAGGGCCACGACTGCTTCCCGGTGCTGTTCACCTACGACGGCGCGGCGGGGACGCTGAGCTTCGGTGGGCGGCTGGATGTGCCCAAGCAGAGCTCGCAGCGCGGCCTGACGGCCCGAGAACGCTTCCAGAACCTCGACAAGAAGGCGAGCTCCGAGGGCGGCGCGGCGGCGGGCGCGGGGCTGGACTCGCTGCACAAGAACAGCGTCAGGTGAGGCGGGGCGGGGCCGGGGGCGGGGCCTCTAGGGAGGCGGGGCTTGTGGCGTGGCTGTGTCCTGACCGCGTAAACGGCGGCAGCGGGGTACGGGGGCGGGGCGTCCCGCGAGGGTGTGTCTCTGACTACTGGAACAGCGGGAGGTGGGGCGGGGCCACGGCTTGTTGACAGCGTCAGGTGTGGTCGGCAGTGTAGGCGTGTCGAGTGCGAGAATAGCGTCGGTCGGTGGGCGGAGCCTGACGGGAGTGGGCGTGGCCTCGACTGGTTGAGTAGCGGAGTCGGGAGGGGCCGGAGTCTGAGGGCGGATGGGCTGAGCCCGACCTGGCGAGCAGTAGCCTCGGGTGGGGGCTCGCAGTGAAGCGGGTGGTTCTGTGGGTGCGGGATGGCGACCCGCGGGCTCAGCGCTTCAGAGCCGGCAGCGTCGTCCTCCCAGCCCCGTTTGTAGCTTTCTCCCCCTGCCGGGGACACGTGCGGCCCCCGGGCTTTGGGGCCCCCTAAGCCGCTCGTTCTGTTTTCAGCCAGATCTCGGTGCTGAGCGGGGGCAAGGCCAGGTGCTCGCAGTTCTGCACCACGGGCATGGACGGCGGCATGAGCATCTGGGACGTGAAGGTGAGGCCGCCCCGCGCCCCCGCGCCCCCGCGCCCCCGCGTCCCCACGGCCAGCGCGGCCTGACCTTTGCTTCCTTGCAGGGCCTGGAGTCCGCCTTGAAGGACCTGAAGATCAAGTGAGCGCAGGAGCTGCTGGGAGGCGGGGGCGCGGAGGGGGCGCCCCACCTCTTCCAGGGAATGTGCCTTTTTCTTCAGTGCTTTCATTTACCCAAAAAAAATGTCCCCAAAGCACAGTGCTGGTCATGAACTGCTTCAGAACCGGAGGTCATAAAGACACCTCTGTCTGGAAGGAGACCTTGGCCTTCGCCTGGGCGCTGCGTCCTTCACGTCACGCGTGCGCAGTCAGATTCACGGGCTGGTTCTGGCTTAGGCTTCTTTTTTCTCAGCAGTACTGGGGTTTGAACTCAGGGCCTCACGCATGCTAGGCAGACGCTCACTTAGGGCTTCTCCACCAGGCCCCGTTTTCAAGCCCTGATCTCCGCCTCCTGAGTAGCTGGGATTACAGATGTGAGCCACGGTGCCCAGCTTGCAGTTGACTTTTGACAAATGTTCCCCTTTCAGAGTGAAGATTTTTCCCATCTTACCTAGTGTCTTTCACTAGGTAATGAATCCCATCAGAACTCCCTTACACGTGGACTCTAGATACCATCCCCCACTTCTCCAGTGCTCTCCCCCAGGATGGCCTCCCGGTTTTGTTTTAACCAGCACAGTGCCAGCGCCCAGCTCTCTTCCATCTTGGGTTCAGCGCCAGCCTGTGCTAGTTGGCTGCGCGCTGAGGTTCGGTCCTCAAGCTGGTGACTGGCCAGGCCGTGTGCTGAAGGGCAGGGAGGCGCTCACACCCTCTGTGGCTTCCCTCAGGTGGGCAATACCCAGGGTTCCCGCTCTCCCACCCTCAACTGCAGGCTTCTCTAATCCCATTGCCATTGCGGGGGTGTCAGCAAACACTCGTGTTGGTGACAGGCCTCAAGTAGGACCTTTACAAAAGTCTGCAAGACTCGCTCAACAGGTAGCCTGTTACAGGGGGACACAAGGATTAGCTTAAAAGTGACAGGTCCAAACCAGACAAGGTGGTGCACACCTATAATCCCAGCACTGGGGAGGCTGAGGCAGGAGGCGCAAGAGTCGGAAGCCAGCAGTGAGACCCTGTTTTAAAAATAAAAAGGTTCAGGGACTGAGGGTACAGTGTGGTTAGCACATGTGAGGGGCAGGGCCACAGGCGTGTCCCCCTGAAGAGGGGCACTGGATGTCGCGTAGGGCGGGTCCTCCAGGAGCAGCAGGCGGGAGGCCCAGCCATTAGAAGACAGCCTGGACCTGCCCACTGTTGCACATCAGCAGGGCCACTAGGACCCCTGGCTGGGCTTGCTGGGACAGCTTGGACAGAGTTGGTACCTCCCAGTTTGCAAACTGGTGAGGAAGGCAGATGGCAACCTTGTGTCAAAGGGAGGCTGGGAAGACTCGGGGTGGGGGCTGAGGGCAGGGTTCAGGCAAAGGCATAGCAGGCGCAGAGGGCTGTGAGCAGAAGTGTGGCCCTTCAGGGAGCTGAAGACTGAGCCGAGGGGGGGAAGTGGCCCTTGGTACCATGGAGTCAGGCCCCTGAAGTGGGGAGACCTGACTGGCATTGCATTCTGGAGACCCCACTCGAGGCCCATGAGGAGGCTGCAGTGTGTGGGGTGCAATGAAGCCAGGGAAGCTGGGATGGCAGCCGCAGCTAGGTTGCTTGAGCTACTAGGTGAACAGTGGAGGATAGTTGGAGGAATCCAAAGAGATGTGAGGCTCTGTGTCCTCACCTTGGGAAGGAGGCCTTCTTTGAACAATTTCATCCTTTTGAGACAGGGTCTCACTGTGCAATGGAGGCTGGCCTAACACAGGTCTCAGCCTCCTGAGGGTCCCAGGCGTGTGCCAGGCTCAGCTGTTAAGACCCATGTTTAAGAAGAAACCAAGGGCTGGGGATGTGGCTCGGGGATAACAGCACTTGCCTAGGATGCCTGAAGCCCTGGGTTTGATCCCCAGCACTGTTTAAAAAAACAACAAAAATTAAACCGAGCCACTGCACGGCACCTGCTGAAAGGTCTTTGGTAGAGCCATGGGAGAAAGCTTCCAGCCCCCAGGGACTCGTCTGCACTTCAGCCTCACTCCTGGGTCAGCAGACACCAAGGAAGTCTTTGCCTCTGGTTTTTCCCAAATGTCTGGGGTACAGGGCACCTTGCCAAGCTTGCCTCTTCCTGTCAGCCACTCACATCCACTCCACCTTCTCGCATAGGTGTCACAAGACACCTGTCACATTTTTGGAGCTGGTGACGGCAGTGGGCCTTGCCAAACCACCGTCCTCATCTTGTTAGAGAACCTTACTGGAGCCTGGGTGGCTGTGGAGTGACTCCAGGGCACAACCTGAGTTAATTCCTGCCACTCATTTTGCCTAACGTCGCACAACCATAGCACCTTGCCTGCATTGTACATGGAACCCCATCATGTTAGCAGACATGCTGACTGCACAAAGGACATTGCTGCTCGCGAGGTGAAGTGCACCCTCAGATGCATGCAGAGACAGAACAGGTGCTGTGGGTCCCCTTTCACCCGGCCCCTTGCTGGCACAAAGCCCAAGCCATCCAGAATGGCAAGGATTAAATGAGGTATTTGCCCCCAGGCAGCCAGGGCCAGGCCTCAGCTTTTGGGAGGCACAGAATCAGGCTGTTACCACCAGGGGGCGTGTGAAGGCAAGGAGAGGAAGGCCTGTGCTGCTCCACTTGGTGTGGGACAAGGACCTGTGCTCGCTCCCAAGCCTGAACCCAGGGTCTAGAGTCTGCATCCTGCTTGTGCCTCCTGCCAGTTCCACTCCAGCTAGGTATGTGCCCTGAGCCTCACTGCAACTGCCTGCAAGTGGCACCAGGGGTAAACATGGCTCACTTACGGCATCCAAAAGATGATGGCAAAACAAGGATTACCATAATGTCAAGTTTAATCTGACAAATATACAAGTTGAATGTGTGGCGTATGTTCTGCCTGGGTGCTGCACAGTAACCAGAGGCTTCTTGAAACATCAATGGTGGGTAAAAACGGGCATAAGCCCTGGCCAGATGGAACAGCGGGGGAGGGCATGGTAGAGGCCAGGGGCAAGCCAGGACCCCAGGGACCCGGACATGCAGGCCCCGGGGCCACAGCCCCGAGTGAGCACCCAGGGTATCAATGGGCCGGATGCTGGAAACTGCACTCAGCTGCCCCGGGGCCACGCTGCTACTGTGCAATCTACTAGACAAATGGAAACTCTTCTGACCCTCCTCCCACCCCCAGCCAGGCTCTGAATTCTAAAAACAGCAAAAACACTCAAATGGTTACACAGGAAATGCTGTCCTGCATCTTTCTGTGGCAAAGATAGCAGCTGCCCCTCCCCCCAGCCCACCCCACCTCCCCCCAAACAATTTCTGTGCCAAGATGAAGAGGCGACCCCAGGCCATGGGGGCTCCTGGCCGTGAGGGGCTGCTGCAACGGCGCCAGGGCACAGGGTGGGTGAGACGCGGCAGAGGTCCTGGCGGTGTGGCCCGGTTCCCTGGCATCTCTTCCCGCAGGCCAGCTTACTTATTTAGGGAGAGCGACTGCATTCGTTTTCCTGACAAAGTCGCGTCATCTTTTGCTGAAGGGTCAGAAGGGAAAGGCAGGAGTTAGAACAAAGCAAAGCCACCACCACGCCCCTCAGAGCCACAGAACTGAGAGGCCTCAGGAGACATGCTGTGCCACTGCCTCAGCTGGCAGACAGGAGAGTGCCAAGACAGGTCCAGGCTGCCACTGCACAGGAGACTGTCCAGACACTCCTGCCACCACCCTGTCAAAAGCTGCCCCCGACAGACAGCTACCAACGCACAGCCTAGTGGAGCCAGAAATTTCTCCACATGGCTGGCAGAGCCCCTAGTTCTGACCTCCCTGCACAGGTTCTAAAGTCTAATGCCTCAATCAGCACCAAGAGCCACAAAGCTACACACGAAGTCCTTCTCTGCTCGGAGGTTCTGAAGTGAGCAGAATCAGGAGTCGGGATCAGGACATCTCCAGGGTGGCGACAAAGCCTCTGAGCACCTGCCTTCCTGCTTCTACGCTTCAGTTTCCTCAGAATCCAGGAACAAGGCAAGACAAGGGCTAGAGTGCAGCTCAAGTGGCAGAGTGCTTCCCTACCAAGTGCAAGGCTCCAAGTTCAAAAAGAGAGAGAGAGAAAAAAAAAAAGGCAGGCCAGGGAGATCTCTAAGGGTGCTCTTATCCCCCAGGAGATGGAAGGTCACAAGTAAAATACTCCTATAAATCAGACCAGCACCCTCAATGGGCACCCTGACCTCCTCCTGTCATCTAGAGGGAGGGCTGGCAGAGGAGTGCCTGTCTGTTGGGTTACGTCTCCAGTGCCCCCTTCCCAAGCCTCTTGAGTGGATAGAGTGACTCCAGAGCCTCTCCTGCCTAAACCAGGCATAGGACCTTAGCAGGGTCTTCTAGC